CACCTCCTCCTAACTTCCAAAACTACGAATTCTCTGCATTATATTCACACCACACATTGCCCTCAGACATGACATCTCCACTGCCTCCAGCCTTTCCTCGCTGCAACATTCATCACCCATGCTTCACCATCCATATAAGAGCGTTGGTAAACTATACTCTCATACATTCCCCTCTTTGCCTCCAAGGACAAAGTTCTTTGTCTCCACAGACTCTAAGTGCACCACTCACCCTTTTCCCCTCATCAATTCTATGATTCACCTCATCTTTCATAGACCCACCCGCTGACACGTCCACTCCCAAATATCTGAATACATTCACCTCCTCCATACTCTCTCCGCCAATCTGATATCCAATCTTTCATCACCTAATCTTTTTGTTATCCTCATAACCTTACTCTTTCCTGTATTCACTTTTATTTTCTTCTTTTGCACACCCTACCAAATTCATCCACCAATCTCTGCAACTTCTCTTCAGAATCTCCCAAGAGCACAGTGTCATCAGCAAAGAGCAACTGTGACAACTCCCACTTTATGTGTGATTCTTTACCTTTTAACTCCACGCCTCTTGCCAAGACCCTCGCATTTACTTCTCTTACAACCCATCTATAAATATATTAAACATCCATGGTGACATCACACATCCTTGTCTAAGGCCTACTTTTACTGGGAAATAATTTCCCTCTTTCCTACATACTCTAACTTGAGCCTCACTATCCTCGTAAAAACTCTTCACTGCTTTCAGTAACCTACCTCCTACACCATACACCTGCAACATCTGCCACATTGCCCCCCTATCCACCCTGTCATACGCCTTTTCCAAATCCATAAATGCCACAAAGACCTCTTTAGCCTTATCTAAATACTGTTCACTTATATGTTTCACTGTAAACAACTGGTCCACACACCCCCTACCTTTCCTAAAGCCTCCTTGTTCATCTGCTATCCTATTCTCTGTCTTACTCTTAATTCTTTCAATAATAACTCTACCATACACTTTACCAGGTATACTCAACAGACTTATCCCCCGATAATTTTTGCACTCTCTTTTGTCCCCTTTGCCTTTATACAAAGGAACTATGCATGCTCTCTGCCAATCCCTAGGTACCTTACCCTCTTCCATACATTTATTAAATAATTGCACCAAACCACTCAAAACTATATCCCCACCTGCTTTTAACATTTCTATCTTTACCCCATCAATCCCGGCTGCCTTACCCCCTTTCATTTTACCTACTGCCTCACGAACTTCCCCCACACTCACAACTGGCTGTTCCTCACTCCTACAAGATGTTATTCCTCCTTGCCCTATACACAAAATCACAGCTTCCCTATCTTCATCAACATTTAACAATTCCTCAAATATTCCCTCCATTTTCCCAATACCTCCAACTCTCCATTTAATACCTCTCCTCTCCTATTTTTAACTGACAAATCCATTGGTTCTCTAGGCTTCCTTAACTTGTTAATCTCACTCCAAAATTTTTTCTTATTTTCAACAAATTTGTTGATAACATCTCACCCACTCTCTCATTTGCTCTCTTTTTACATTGCTTCACCACTCTCTTAACCTCTCTCTTTTCTCCATATACTCTTCCCTCCTTGCATCACTTCTACTTTGTACAAAACTTCTCATATGCTAAATTTTTCTCCCTTACTGCTCTCTTTACATCATCATTCCACCAATCGCTCCTCTTCCCTCCTGCACTCACTTTTCTGTAACCACAAACTTCTGCTGAACACTCTAACACTACATTTTTAAACCTACCCCATACCTCTTCGACCCCATTGCCTATGCTCTCATTAGCCCATCTATCCTCCAATAGCTGTTTATATCTTACCCTAAATGCCTCCTCTTTTAGTTTTATAAACCTTCACCTCTCTCTTCCCTGATGCTTCTATTCTCCTTGTACCCCATCTACCTTTTACTCTCAGTGTAGCTACAACTAGAAAGTGATCTGATATATCTGTGGCCCCTCTGTAAACAGTACATCCTGAAGTCTACTCAACAGTCTTTTATCTACCAATACATAATCCAACAAACTACTGTCATTTCGCCCTACAAACATATCTTGTATACTTATTTATCTCCTTTTTCTTAAAATATGTATTACCTATAACTAAACCCCTTTCTATACAAAGTTCAATCAAAGGGCCCCCATTATCATTTACACCGGCACCCCAAACTTACCTACCACCCCCTCTCTAAAATTTTTCTCCTATTTTAGTTCAGGCCCCCTCCCAACCAATTACCTCATTGGTTAAAAGGCTCCAACATTCATTAACATCTCCCAAAATCTCTCTCTTCCTCTACATTCCTCTTTCCCCAAGTGATCACGTTATTATACCCACTTTTCACATCCAACCTTTACTTTAATCCCATAATTCTTGAATTTACACATTCATATTCTTTTTCCCTTCCAAACTGATCCTTAAACTTTACTGCTACCCCTTCCTTTGTTTCCCCCTTAAATACTCCAGATTTAATCCCTTTTATTTTTCCCCCCCCAAAAAACCCCCTCCCCTTTCCAGCTTTGTTTCGCTTAGGGCCGGACACCAATTCTTTTCATCTAACATCAGCAATCATCTGTTTTTTGTATCCGCACTACATCCCCATAATCAACTCCCATTTTTATAAAGTTTTTTTTCTTCTCTTTTTTAAAATTTTTATTTTTATTTTTTTTCTCTTGTTTGTTGGGCTATATATTCAAACTTGGGCAATGTAGATGGAAAGAAAATTCTTAACGTACCCCAAAAATGAAAGAAATAGCCCAAAAATAGCAGTATTTCTCAGCATTAGCGCCATTAGCGTTATATTTTTGTATGTTTTTTGGTTATATTCTATTTTTTCAGTTTTTTGATAGAGTGAAATAATATTACGAAACGATTGATTTGATTGCTTTCATGATAAAAGTCCCTTAAAATTGCGCTCAAGAGCAAAAATGTTCTGTTCTTTAGCGAAGCTCAAGGTAAACAAATGACGTCCAGTCCAATCTGTCCGCCCTGCCAGTCCAAATTCCAATATGTAGTCAAGAATGGGTTGACATTATTTATACAATTATTACAATAATGCAGCAGTCTGCATAACAGTAAATCTTCTATTTTTTTGTGTGAATAAAAATTCCAAATGGAAAGGGCAAGAGTAGTTAAAGAGGGGCCTGTAGCCTTACTAATGAACAGAGAAAATGTTATTTTAGTGCCAGGAATGTCTGCATTGTTTATTCTGGACACTATTTTGAAATTGGCATCTGTTGAAATTTGTGTGAAATCGGCCAAACTGCCAATTTCTGACCACACTTAATTGGGTAGTTGAAATAAGTGAATGGGTGGTTTCTTGTACTCAGTTGACAGACTAGAAGTAAGTAAGTTTTCAGGTATACACAAATACAGTGACATAGATCATCATACATAGCAGTGTATGTATAGAGAACCTAGGATAACCCAGAAAAGTCAGACAAAGTGACTTATTTCCAGTACCTGGGTTGGGCTTGCCATATATGATTTTTGGTAAATATTTTTTTTTTCTCGGTTGTTAGTTGGGCTATTCTTTTAAATTGGGCAAAAGTTTGATGGAAAAAATGTTTTAACGTACACAAAAAAAAAAAAAGAGGATGATAAATAAAGGGGGTTCGTTCTCAGCCATTTGCCGCCTCTTTGCGTATATTTTTGTATTGGGGTTTTTTTTGGCTTTTATTTTTCATTTTTTTTGGGCCCCAAATTTGGGTAGAATGGAAGAAAATTTTTACAGAAACGACATGATTTTGATTGCTTTCATGATGAAAAAATACCTTTGGGAAAATTTAGCTTTAAATTTCCGGAAATTTTTCGATTTTTGGGATCAGGGCAAGTTGGTTTTTTTTTTTAAGTGTATTCTAAAACCCAAATACTCTGTAATCCAGCAAACTCAGTTTAAACCGGGCAACCCCTAAGGTCCCCAATGATGCCGGATTTGTGATGGAGGACCTGTATATTATTAAGCTATAAATCTAAAAATCTGTCACCCACTTGTCATGACACATTAAGGGAAGGCCTTGAAGTGGAGTTGAGAGAAGAGGGCGAAAATCAAACTTGTAGGTTGTTCTAGGCATTAGCTACCTAACAAACAGAAAAAAGCCTCTATCCATGAAAAGACTGTTTACCCCTCTTATACCAAACCATATCCATAATTCAGTTAATCCAAGGCTACAAGTCACATTACAAAGGCACTGGCAGCAGCAGGGGAAAGGTGGTGGTGATGGTGTCAGTAACGGCAGTTGGAGAGGTAGTAGTAGCAGCATCAGAGGCCCATAACAGTGATGATCCTAAGTCCATACAATGCATCCCAAAATATATCTATAATTCATTCCAAGTCAGAGGCTAAAAAGCACACTACACACATTTAGTTATCAGCATTACTGGTATCAGCAGCAGTGGCACAGGTCCATCAATTATAGTCCAAACCAATCAATAATCCATTCAGGGGCACAGGTGATAAGCTACAGCAAATATTTACTGATGGGAAATATTCTTCCAATGTTCATGCATGAAACAATGATAAAGATTTTTAATCATGCAAAGTCAGTCAAACTCCACTACCATGATAAGGAGATTGAATGTTGGGATGACAGAACTGGTGAGGAAGAATTTCTAGCATCATCAACATGGTGTTAGGAAGATTTTTCTGGCACCATCAACATGGAGATAGGAAGATATTCTAGCACCATCAACATGAAGCACAGGTCATAGCTATAAATTAAGAAATATATAACAGGTGCCAAAGGGATACTAGGTTAGTCAGTAAATGCTATGACAACTAGAATATTAAAAACTATATGATAAATTTATTACTACAAGGAGGATGCAATAAACTTAGCTCAGCTCCTTTAGCTGTAACTATGCACAGCAATCATAATACATATGGTGCTATACGAGGTAACATAATTTACTCCTACTTACTGAAAAAGAGAGGTGATAAGAGTATTATTGAAGAGCTTCAGTGTATTTCAAAGGCTGTACAAGCTCACCTTTCATCACATGTGAAGAATGTCTGGAAAAGTTGGAGCCTGCGAAGCTTCTGATCTTGCCCTCATATTTTAGGAGAGTAAGTATTGGCTTACAATCTCCCAGCAGTCCTTTGCCAAGCATCTCTGCTGTTAACACTTGTGCAAGATATGGACTGCAAATATCAGAGAGAGAATAAAAGTTGTGTAAAATAGACTAATGAAGAGCTCAAGTGTGCATGCAATATGCAGTCCTGCAGTATAATAACTGATTTTTCTATACAGTTGAATTTACAGGCTAAGAGCTGTTATCTTAACTCAGCTCATTTATAGACTAAAAGCCATTTAAAACATCAGATGAAAACTGCAGTAGACATACTGGCCCATGCTCAGCAGGTCCTTTTCAATCCTAATGTTTTACTCTAACCTATTTTTACAGCTACTAAAGGTACTAGATTTAATTAATTAATTTTTGCTTCAATGTATTGTCATATTGAAAGACAACTTGAACATTAAAGCTTGTGAGAGGCGAGAGAGAAGTTTTTATTATATGGTAAAACCAACAAATTCTCAAGCTTATACTCAGTAAGAGACTGTAAACACACAGTTGAACACACCAGCTAACCCCTTTACAGTGAACTTTTTTGTACTTTTTCCATATTCCTCTTGTTTTTTCTCTTCCAAGTGCTGCTGCACTTTTATCTTGCACTATGGGGCTTACAATAAAGTACAAATTTATAAACAAAATATATAATCTTTGAGACTGTGAAAGCTATTGTACTAAGTGGCTACAGCCACAGCTACAGCTACAGCCACAGTGGCTACAGCTGAGATGCCACGCTGCCCGTTTCCATGACCCAAGTTCTCGTTTGACATAAAATACCGACTCGTGGGAGAGCCCACAGTAACTCCAAGTTGTTGGCAAACGAGTATGTCAGTAAGTGAGGAGAGGCTGTACAGGTCTCCCTCAACATTCACTTTTTCCACTTTCGCAGTCTTCGAACATTCACAAATTCCCAGTTGCCCAATCATATTTAAAATATGTCATTACACATGTTAGGAATTGTGGCAGTGGCAGAGTTTGTTTGGAGAAAGGACAAGATAGTCCCTCAATATGACACTAATATCAAACTCTATGGCTTATTTATCTATCATAATTCACCTAATATGACATAATAAACAATATTAATAACATAGAAACATGACATATACTCTAGAATGAATAAAATGTCATTAAGCATGTCATGAGCATTGTTGCATTGTTGTTGTTGTTGGGTGTGTAAGGGCCACTGAGAGCATAAGCCTTAGATAGTGGTGGTGGAGGGAGGTGGCAGCAGAGGCGGCAGCAGAGGCGGTAGAGACGGCGGTGTTGTCAGTCGCCCTATATAACTCCAACAACATTGGAGGAGATAGGTCCATGCTGTCCTTTTTCCATCGATTAATTGCTTAACTTACTTGCCACACTGTTAATGCTACACTTGTCACTGGCTGGCACCATAGCCTTCATCGATTCGTGCTGCTTTAGTATTGTACATATATCGTAGAATCACTGAAGAAGGCACATTCTCCCCTCTCTCTTCCTCCTCCACTTTGGTACTCTGCTACGAGTTCTTTCTTTAATTCTATAGTCTTTTTCGCCTTCTTTACCAAAGGGCTGGCACTAGTACAATATTTTATGATGTTTTCATGTGTTTTATGATTGCTCATGGTTCAATAGGTTAAGGTAGCAGTATTGTATTATAATTCCCTACAATATATTGAGGCACCAAACATTCCCCATTTTTCAACATTCGCGAGGCTCTTGATCCCCTAACCCTTGTGAATGTTGAGGGAGACCTGTATATCACTGTTCACCATCAGTCAAGGACATTTTATTCCTTAACCCTTTGAGGGTTTCAGACGTACTAGTACGGCTTACGCGCAAGGGTTTTTGACGTACTAGTGCACATAAATTCTGGTGCCGTCAAATCTCGTGGGAAAAGGCTGGTAGGCCTAGATGTGAGAGAATGGGTCTGTGTGGTCGGTGTGAGTGGTAGAAAAAAATCTGGGACCCAGTGGTGCATTGTGGGAATGCCATCTTAGTATACAATGTCCACCATGCCTCGCAGTAAGAAGTTCCTCACTCCTTGGTGAATTGGGACACTTTTGTTCCCCAGTGACAGTTCTAATACAGATGGAAGTGCCAGTGATGATGAGTCTCAAGGTTTTGGTGAGGTTTTGACCGAAACTAATGACCATAATATCGGTAATAGTGAGGAAAACCCAGATGACCCTCAGCCTTCCACCTGGTGCTGGGCATCTTGTTCACATTCAGTTGTACCAGAATCAAAGAGGAAACTCCTATTTTCCCAAATCCCAGACTCAGATGCTTCATATCAAGAAGCATAAATAATAGGAGTCCTCAGGTTGTTCTTCAACTCTATACATCCTTGGTTAGGCCTCATTTAGATTATGCTGCACAGTTTTGGTCACCGTATTACAGAATGGATATAAATTCTTGGAAAATGTACAAAGGAGGATGACAAAGGATGATCCCATGTATCAGAAACCTTCCCTATGAGGATAGACTAAGGGCCCTGAAACTGCACTCTCTAGAAAGACGTAGAATTAGGGGGGATATGATTGAGGTTTATAGTGGAAGACAGGAATAAATAAAGGGGATGTAAATAGTGTGCTGAAAATATCTAGCCTAGACAGGACTCGCAGCAATGGTTTTAAGTTGGAAAAATTCAGATTCAGGAGGGATATAGGAAAGTACTGGTTTGGAATAGAGTTGTGGATGAGTGGAACAAACTCCCAAGTACCGTTATGAGGCCAGACGTTGTTTTGCTTCAAAAAAGGTTGGATAAATACATGAGTAGATGTGGGGGGTTTTGAGTTGGGACCTAATAGCTTGTTCTAACAGGTCGGTTGCCGTGTTCCTCCGTTAAGTCAATGGACCTGACCTGACTAGGTTGGGTGCATTGGCTTAAGCCGGTAGGGACTTGGACCTGCCTCGCATGGGCCAGTAGGCCTTCTGCAGTGTTCCTTCGTTCTTATGTTCTTATGTTCTTATTTGTGAAGATAGTGATAGTGATTATGAACTACAAGCTCTTGAAAACAGTTCCAGTAGTGATAGTGAAGTGCAATATTCCCCAGTGAAGCGTCAGTATATACGATGATATATGCACTCTGGTAGTGTGCCATATGCTATTCCAAGGGGAAGGAGTACATCTCGGAGTACATCCCGTGGCTGTACAACAGGAACAGACAGTGAAAATGACGATCATAGTGTTGCAATTGGGATGGAAAATGTGCATGGTGGTGGTAGTGGTGGTGACAGCAGTGAGGTATCAGCAGTGGGCCATGCTGCCACCCATGCTGCCACCCACGCCGCTGCCTCAGCTGATCTACAACAAAGGCCACCATCCCCCACCCACCCACCACACCAGCCTCCACAACCACAACCTCCACAACCACAACCACCTGTCATTGTCCAGTACCCACCAGCAGACTGCACCTGGGACTGGCAGGAAGCTAGCAATTTTGTTCCAAATGCCCACCAGTTTGATGACAGCCAAAGTGGAATACGGCCATCTTGTACACTTGGGAACAATGCCACTGAACTGGAATGTTTTGAGTTATTCTTTGACGAACCCCTGATCGAAAGTATTGTCATGGAAAGCAACACATACTACAAGTACACCATGGCAAACACAATACTTTCACCAAAATCATGTCTACACCAGTGGAAGGAGGCAACTGTGGCCGAGATGTATCTTTTCTTTGCCACAATAATGCTTATGCCGCATGTGTATAAGCACAAAGTGAAATCATACTGGCCAACAGACCGCCTGATTGCAACCCCAGGTTTCAGTGATATAATGCCAGTGAATCGATTTGTGCTAATGTTACGTATGCTTCACTTCTCAGACAAAACCAGGCCTGACAGAAATGACAGGTTATATAAGATTAGGCATGTGTTTGTGTATCTGAAAGAGAAATTCAATATGTATTTTTATCCCTTCAGGAAGCTTGTAATTGACGAGTCTTTGATTCTGTTTAAAGGAAGACTCTCTTTCAAGCAGTACATACCAAGCAAGAGGAAACACTTTGGTATAAAGTTGTTTGTGCTTTGTGATTGTTACAGTGGTCTGGTATTGGATATTATTGTGTACACTGGAAGTTATACATTGCAAAATACCAGCAAGTTATTGGGCATCTCTGGTGATGTGGTTAGAACAATGATAGAACCATACCTTGGTAAGGGGCATATATTATATACTGATAACTGGTACACAAGCCCCTCACTCAGTGATTTTTTGCAAGTGAACATGACAGGTGTGTGGCACAGTGCGTGTAAATCGGAAACATATGCCCAGGTTTGACGCTGGCACTCGTAGAGGTGAGGTGCAGGCGTTTGCTGCCAATGACATTATGGCATTTTGGTGGCATGACAAAAGAGATGTCACACTGTTGTCATCAGTTCACCCTAATGAAATGGCAGACACTGGCAGGCAGCATAGAGAGAGCAATGAACCCATTCTAAAACCTGCAGCTGTGATTGATTACACCTTCAATATGCGTTCAGTGGACAAATGTGACATGCAGATTGGGTTTGCTGATTGTGTTCGCAAGAGTTATAAGTGGTACATAAAACTCTTTTTCCATCTTCTGGACATTTCCATGCTCAATGCTTATAATATGTATAAGATGAGGACCAGAAAAAAAACCACAATACGAGAATTCTGTTTGTCTGTCATCAGACAAATAGTATTCAAGTACCAAGGAAGAACACCTGCAATAGACCGCCCACCAAATTATCAACAACTACCTTCTTGTCAGAAGCATGGTGATCACTTCCTGGTAAAACTGCCTGCTACTACTTTCAAGAAAAAGGCTCAGAAGAAGTGTTACGTCTGTGCACATACAAAAAAAACGGTCACAACAACGCAGAGACACTAGTTTTATGTGTGAGGAGTGTAAAACACCACTGTGCATGACACCATGTTTCAAAGACTTCCACAGGCTGCAGACTTCTAGAACATTCCCTGTGACTGTATATGTGTATATAAAATATAGAAAAATAGTAATAAACAACATTTCATATCGTTTGTTTGTGTAAATATTTTTTATAAACAAAACAATGACAACAGTGTTTATGTCCTTATTGTGTAGTATTGAAAAAAAAAAAAACTTACAAAATACTGATCATATTGGTCTCACAGGCCATAAAAGTTACTTGGAAAAAGAAAAATTAAAAAATAACAGAAATTAGTACATAAGAAAGTAAATAAAAGAATACTGGGAGACGGCAGTCGGCGATGTTGCCACATTGTCCCCCTTTTTCATCAACTTCACGCCTCCATATCTCCGTAAGTATTGATGGTAAAAAATTTTTGTTTAGCCTATAATATTTAGAAAAAAAAAAAAACTATTTTTCATAAGAAAAAATTATTTTTTTTTTTAAATTTGGCCGACCCTGAGAACGAGTCTCTAAGAAGACCTGTTGACCCTCAAAGGGTTAAAAACCCTTTCAGGGTCCAAGGCCCAAATCTGGAGTTCACGCACCAGTGTCAAGAATTTTCAAAAAAAAAAATTTGTTATTTTTTCTTATGTAATGTAGTTTGAGTAGAGAATCTTTTGTGAAGGTAATAAAACAAAAAGTATGAAATTTGGTGGAAAATTGATGAAATTATGCTCTCGCGAATTTTGATGTGTCAGCGTATTTGCGAATCGGCGATTTTGCCGACTTTGACTCCCATTTTAGGCCTATTACATTATTCCAATCAACCAAATTCTAAGCTATTCATAGTATTTACTTTTTATTTTTATCGATTGAGCACAAGAATGCCAAGTCAACTGTTTCAACTACAAAATAAAGTGAATCGGAAAATTGTTTAATTTGGCCAATTTAACACAAAGTCAATATATTCCAATTCAAAATAGGGTCAGAATGAACAATTGTAGGCATTCCTGGCACTAAACTAACAGTTTCCTCTTTTCATTAGTTATGTTTTGAGGCTTTACAAATAAATTCCATTTTGATTTTTTATTCACATAATGAATTTTTATTCACACAAAAAATAGAGATTTACTGTATTGCAGTACTGTAATAATTGTATAAATATCATCACCATTTGTGAATGTTATATTAGACCCGCCAGCTGAGTGTATTAGACGTGTGAGGTCGTTTGTTTACTCTTGAATATCGGCAAAAATTTAACATTTCCGCTACTTTGAGCTCAGTTTCAAGCCATTTCCAATGCTAAAACCAATCAAAATCATCTCTATTTCTGTAATATGTCTTCCATTCTATCAAATGAGACCAAGAAATCGCAAATACAACTATAAAAAAAATACGAAAAAACACCCCAAAGTTGCTGTTTTAATCGAAAAATCATGATTTCATTTTTTTTTCTCTCATTATACACGTGTGCGCAGGATCTTTTATGTGGTGCACACATACCACAAAAGATGTTTCTCTCATATCTAGGCCAAATGTACCACTCACAGTTTATCAGAGTGAGCTGAGCTCATGGCGTAGATTCTACGGTTTGGACCCTGAACATAAAGCCGTAGATCTACGGGACGGACCCTGAAAGGGTTAAAAAAAAAAAAAAAGTAAACTCTCAGTATTACACACTGAAAGATACAAACCTCTCAGTGTTATCTCTACAGGCCTACAAATATGATGAAAGAATTTTTATTTTATTTGTGAATCATTTAACCCATAGGGGTCACTCAACATGGAGTGGACGTTCAACCTGCTGTCACTAACTGTGAGATGGACACGCTATCTATTTATATTCATCTACATATGTACCATACATCATGATGATTAAGAAGGGTTGAAACAGAGAAAGTACCTATGAAACAAATTATCAATAAGATTAATACGTACATAAAAGTGAGGGCTAAAAAATGAGTCAGGAAAGTTAGCATGAGCTACTTTTCTATGGCTTAGGTGAAACCACTGCACACCTATAGATAAGGCAATATATGCTATGATCCCTGTCAACATTTCTAGTATATCCATAAAACAAATGCAATACTAAGAAACTAATCAAGGACTTACTCAAATTTTGGTTCATTGGTATATAAACTTGATTCAACAAGAGCGGCCTTTATTGCAGCAGAGTTCTCCACTGTTTTGCAAAGCAACCCGTATATTTTTTCCGAAGTTCTGGAATACAAGAATTTTACAGGTAAATACTAATGATGGTGATGATGATATTACCTGGCAAATAATGTGTGAAGGAACATCACCCATTAACACACGAGGGAAGGACTACATTATTAACTTACTATCACCCATTCATGTAAATACATATACATTTAGTATTATCTTTAAAACTCTAAGTTTCTTAAACCCTTAACCCTTTCAGGGTCGAGAGGCCCTCTCCAAAACTTGTTCTCAGGGTCAAAAATTTTTGGGAAAAAAAAAAAAAATATTTTCTTATGAAAAGATAGAGAATCTTTTTCCAATCATAATGACACCAAAAGAATGAAATTTGATGGAAAACTTACGGAATTATGCTCTCATGAATTTAGCGGTCTTAACGATGTTTATGCATCGGCGATTTCGCCCACTTTGAGCCCTATTTTCAGCCAACTCCAGTATACTAGTCAACAAAAATCATAACTATTTCGCTAGAACTCCTTCTTTTTTCTATCGAATGAGTACAAGAAACCACCCATTTACCGATTTCAACTATCCAATAAAGTGGTCAGAAATTAGCAATTTTGCCAATTTCCCACAAATTTCAAAAGATACCAATTTCCAAATAGGGTCCAGAATAAACAAGACAGACATTCCTGGCACTAAAATAACATTTCCTCTGTTCATTAGTCATGTCCCCAGGCCCCTCTTACATTTCCTTTGCTTTCCATTTTGAATTTTTATTCTCACAAAAAAATAGAAGATTTACTGTTATGCAGACTACTGCATTAGTGTAGAAATGGTATAAATAATATCAGTGCACTTGTGAAAGAATATTAGATTCACCAGTTGATGTGTATTGGACACATGGCATGATTTGTTTACTTTTGAACTTTGGTTAAAATCGAACATTTCTGCTACTTTGAGCTCAATTTTCAAGGTACTTTTCATCGTGAAACCAATCAAAATCATCTCAATTTCTGTAATATGTCTTCCAACTCTAAAAAGTGAAACAGGAAAACTAGAATACAACCATAAATACCATAAATAACAAAAAGGCACATACCGTGACTGGAACGATCACAAATAACCGCACATAAAGAGAGAGCTTACGACGACGTTCGGTCGACTTGGACCATTGACTTTGTCAATGGTCCAAGTCGGACCGAAACGTCGTCGTAAGCTTCTCTCTTTTATGTGCGGTTATTTGTGTATAAATACCATACGAAAATACAGTGCAAAGCCACTGTTTTAAACCAAAAACACGGTTCTAAGTTTTTTTTTCACATTACGCACTGTGTGCTGCAGAATTTTTTTTTATACTGTGCACACTGACCACATAGACCCATTCTTTCATACGTAGGCCTACCAGCTTTCTCTCGCTAGATTTGAAGGTGATAGAATTACGCGTACTAGTACGTCAATAACCCTGGTGCATAAGCCGTACTAGTACGTTGGAAACCCTGAAAGGGTTAAACTGTCCAAACGTAGATCTACATTTTCACTTCCAGCACTCCGAATAATTAAAAAAAAAAAAAAATTCATTAAAATAGGGCAATTTTCTGCGTGTATTAAGACCACATAAAAAAATTTAGGATCAGTACTTACTGAGATATAAGACCGCGAAGTTGGCACTGGATGCCACCTGAGTGCAACATGGAGTCCTGCCGCTTGCAAACTGTTGCCAATAAACCTTTTTTTCTCATTTTTTTTTATTTATATAATTTTTTGCTATGATAATTACAAATTGTAGTAGTTCTTGTGATTTCATAGCCAATGTTTGTTCTGACACTAATATAATAGATACTCAAATAGTCACAAAGACACTGACAGGTGAACATTTTCACCTGCCTTGGTCACCTACTATTGTCTAGAAATATATCATACTTTTACTCTCAATATCGGCATTCATCTCAAATGTTAATCACTCATTTTGGCCACCTAAGGTTAATAATCAAAATTGCACATGTTAACAAGACTTATTAAAAGCCATATAGCTGACCTAATAGAATACTCAATTCTCTTCTCTTGTATTCATTGTAACTCATCTAATGACCATATGTACGGTTATTGCCTAATTATCCTTAAGTTAATTTTAAGTTTGCCCGAAATGCTCTGCATATAAACTGCATGATGTCAAAATAAAATATTATTGACATTATTATGAAAGGTAGAAAGGTATTAATACATGTCTAACTGAGTGACTCCCTTATGCCTTCATATGTTCACAATTCTCAGCATCTCCTCCTCTCTTGTTTACTCGTTTTCTCTCATTTATTCACTCTCTCTCGTTTATGAAGGCATCTAAGGGTAGCTGTTAGAAATTATTAAACTCAGTGAACAAGGTATGTCAATGGTATTAATAATAATAGCTCTGGAGTGCTTTAAATTTAAGTCATATAGTATTTCATGTAGGTATGGTAGCTGGTGTATAGGAGATACCCCACCTGACTTTCTACAAATAAAATACTCACCTCTCACCCCACATTAAGACTCCACATATTTTTGGGTAAGTCAATGTACTTTACTTTATTGTTTTTTAATACCTA